ACAGTCCCGGGCATCGCCGGGTCCCGCGGCGGCACCCACGCGGGGACCCGGCCCAAACCCCGGCTGCCAGCCCGCCCCCGCGGGGGTGTGGGACTGGCGATGCTGGAACTGGAGCTGGGACCGGAGCATCCCGGCCAGGCCCCCCAGGGGAGCGGGACCGGTGCTGAACCGGTAGTGGGACCAGAGCATCCTGGTCAGGCACTCCCGGGCCCCGGGGGAGCGGGACCAGTGCTGAGACCGGAGCTGGGACCAGAGCATCACCACCAGGCACCCCCGGGGATGCCGGGGAGTGACTCAGGGTGAGAGGCTGGGGGTCTCGGTGGCCTCGGCAGAGAGGGGAGCACGGTGTGCGGCTGTGGGGAGCGCTGGGGCCAAAAGTGGAGACTGGGCAGCCCCAGTCCCCACGGTGAGGCCGGTGGCCATGGCCACACGCGGTGGCCATGCTGGGCACAGGTGGCCGGGCCACCACGCCACAGGAAGCACTCGGCGGCGATGGCTCCTGTTGGGTACAATCCAGGAAACCGGCCGGCCCGGGGCCAGGCAGCTCCCATGGCACCGTTGTCCCCGTCCCGCCTGGGGGGACACCCAGCTAACGCTGTTCCTGCCGTCCCCAGGGCAGGTGTGTGAGGCGCCGGGCGGGAAGGATGCGAAGAGCGGCCTCGTCCGAAGAGTGGTGCGGCCGCGGGGTGCCCGGCGCGGCACCGGGCAGCGCCCGGCGGGCTGGCGGAGGTACCGGCGGCCCCGGCCCCGGCTGTCCCACAAGGGCCCCATGCCCTTCTGAGCCAGGTGAGATGCAGGGGGGCATGGGGGATGCGGGGAGACGTGTGACGGTGCCGGGAGGGAACTCGCATATAACCTGGGTTTGCTCTCGTTGCAGGGCTGCCACCAACCTTCCATGGACACGGCTCCCATCGCCTGCGCCGTGTCCTCGCCCGTTCCGCTCATCCTCCGGCCCCGAGCGTGCGGTCCCACCTGTGAGCCCTCGGCTGGCATCACCTCCTCCCTGCGGTTGTCCTTGGTGGCCTCGGCGCCGTGTCTGGCACCGTGGGTGCCTCCTGCCCCCCACTGCCGCCTCCCGGCGCCGGTCGGGAGCAGGTTGCCTGCAGAGGGGCCAGGGCTGCCTGTCCCGGTGGGCACAGGGCAAAGGCTCGCCGGGACCACGGGCTTTGTGCAAAGCACTTTGTCAGGCGGAGCAGCTTCTCCGCAGGGGTCTGCGAGCTCCCTCGGGGCGCCGCCCCCGCCCTGCCCATCACCCCTATGCCAGGGAGAGCACACAGCTTGTCCCGGATCTATTTATTCCCGTGGTGCTCACCTGGGTGAGCTGCCCTCCCCGGTGAGCATGGGGTCCTTTTCCTGCTGGCAGACCCACCTCCTGGGGCCCCCCAAGGTGTTGGGTGCCCACCCAGGACACAGCGTGGGGCTCTGGGCCCCTGTACCTGCTCCACGCCGTGGGACAGGAGGAGCAGGGGGGCACTGGGGTATCTGTCAAGCACTGCCATGCACCAAAGGAGGGGCTCTGGCTCTGAGCTGGGCCCTGTTGATTGTCTCCCATGTCTGTAAAGATTTATTCCGTGTAAATACATCTTTATAATAAAGAGTTATGATGACAGTAAATGCTGATTTCTGGAGGGGTAGTCAGGGGTTACTTGCCTGTTCCTGGGCAGGGATCTCAGGACCCTCTGGTCCCTCCTGGAGCTGCCTGGTGCTGGCAGTCATGGCTTGCACCACGGCAGCCCCTTTCACAGCCTGATGCTGGCAGAGAAGGTGCTTAAAAAGGAGAGAAACCAGCTGCTGAGCCTGTGGAACTGGGGAGGAGAGTGTGAAAACATGGGTCAGAGGGCCTGGGAGATGGAGGAGGGGATGCTGGAAGGGCACAGGGATGTTAGTCCCAGCTGGACAGTGAGGGTAGAGGGGCTGGGGGACCCTCAGGCAGCAGAGCAAAGACCCTGGCTGCAAGTGCTGCCCTGAGCCTTTAGCCCATTCTGGGGTTTATTTTTGGGAGGAGGGTTTGGGCCTGGCCTGTCCCTGGTGGGAGAAGGAAGAGGCCAGTGAGATGTGCAGGAAGCCAGAGGAGGCTGCTGGAGCTGTCTCTGCCACTGCTCAGCACCTTGCTGGGGTTCTCCAGCCCCGGTGTAGGACAGACAGCCATCCCAGTGCCAGGGTACGGTGGCACGGTCCTGGACATGGCTCTCACTGGTTCCATCTGACTCTGCTGCTGTCAGTGGAGCAGCTCCAGTGACTGCTGGGTCCTCCCTTTGCCCCAGCCTGACCTCACCGGCCCTGGGCAGCTGCTCCACAGCCCTGCACACAGGGGCAGCTGTGGGTGCTGGGTACCTGGCATCCCTGTCTCTGGTGTCCCTGTCATCCCTCTCCTCCGTGTCTGCATCCTAACATCCCTGTCGTGGGTATCCCCCTCCTGGCATCCCCTTCCTTGGTGCTCCCACCCCATGGGACTGTGTTCGAGCAGGACCCATGTGGGAGGGGCAGTGGGCAGGCTCAGGGGACTGAGGGTCCTTGTAGGACCCTGCAGGCAGGGAGGAGGGGCTGGGCGGGCCCTGCAAGGGGATGGGACCCCACGGGACAGGACTCCCCCAGCCCCAGCCGGGACCTTCCAAGTGAGGCTCACGCAGGGGTTCCAACCCCCACGCTGCTTGCAGGGGTCTGCCCACGAGGGACGTCCCGGGCGTGGGGCTGTGGGTAGGGGCGTGTGGCCACCGGGGGATGGGCAGGGGGACATGGGCGGGGGTCGGCAGTGCCGGCGGGGAGGGGGTTAAGGGGCTGCGGAGGAGCGGAAGGGCTGCAGCTGCGGGCTGGGAGCGGGGCCTGGGGAAGCGTCCGGGCCCAGCTGGCCTCCATTAGCTCATCCGCTGGGACCGGGAGGGATGTGCTGCCCGGCCACACGCCAGCACGCTCCCGCCACGCCGCCACCCACGCCCGCCCGCGAGCCACCGCCGCCACGTGAGCCACCGAGAGCCACCTCCGCCCTGGTTCGTGGCCACTCCACCGGCCACTGCTGCCCCCCCAGCCTCTGCCACCTCATGAGCCATCACTGCCACCCCACTTCACCGCTGCTGGCCACCCCATGAGTCATCACCACCCCACTTTGCCACCACCAGCTGCCCCACGAGCCCCCCGGAGCCACCCTTGGGGCCCCCGTGGTGGTCTGGGTGGGTGGGCAAGGGTTGCCTGCTCACTGCCCAGTCCAATCCAGACCCTCATGCCCTGTCTTCCAGACCCCTCCTGGTGGTGGCATTGGCACTGGAGCTGCGGTGGGGCAGGATGTGGTACCCTGGCCACAGCCCCCCCAGCTGACCCCAGCTCCAGCTCTGGGGTGCTGGGGAGGTATCATTTCCTCCACCGCCAACCTATGGTGCTGCTGCTACTGGTTTGAACTTGGAGGGCTCTTCTCCTTCACCTCAAACCACCCCCAGCACCTGCAGTTTGCCCCCCCAGATGACACTTTGCCCAAGAGCTCCTGCTGGGTCCCTGCCTGGGCAGCAGGGTGGCCCAGAAGACCCTCAGAGTGACTGCTGTGGCCGTGCCAGGCGAGGCAGCGCTGCCCAACGTCCCCCAGGCACCACCCAGCCCTGAGTGTTTGGGCTGCAGCCAGGGGCTGCACAGCTGAGCCCTGACCCCAGCCCTCCTGCGCCAGCCTGGAAGGAGTAGGCCAGGGAGGACTCCCCCCGTTTGGGCTGTGGCCAGCCTCGAAGGAGGAAAAGGCTCCTGGGCCAGGAGACCTAAGGAATCTCTGGCTCTTCCTGGCCTGGCCTGCTGCCCGCAGGCAGGTGGGAGCTGCTGGGCTTGGCCATGCTCCCTGTGCCCCCTGTGACATAGCGGTGCGGGAGCCCCAGTACCACAGCAGGGAGCCAGGGAAAAGCAGGCAGTGGGCACAGGGGCAGTGCCAGGGCACAGGGCAGTCCTTGTCCCTGGGTGTGTGAGCAGGAGTCTGTCCTGGCATGCCAAGGATGGGGTCTGCCAAGTCCTGGCTCACTGAGCAGGATGCTGGATATACTGGGAGAGGGGCTGGGAATGGGCTGAGCAGTCACGTGAGCCCTGTGGTCCTTGGGGACATCTGGCTGCCCCTGGGGGGGGACAGGAAGGGCTCACTGACAGTGAGGGATGTCCAGTGCAGCCGTGGGACACTGGCTGTGCCACACCACAAGCTGAGCCCCACTGCTGGGACACCGTCAGCTTCCCCAGCCCCCCCCACCTGGGCACCACCAGTGTCCCTCAGTCATGCTGTTCATGGTGGGCTGATGCATGTGTGAGCCCCCAGAGCTGCACCCCAACACCCTCCAAGGTCCTCCCCCTGGATGAGGGGGAGGATGGGCAGGCCCAGGCTTCATTCCATCCCTGGGGAGCAGCATCAGGCCTTTGCTCTCGCTCCGGCATTTCCGCCGGCAGTGGCAGGAATGTGGTGGCTGCGGGAACAATGCCGGCACCTTGCGCCGGTCCCCTCCGTGACAGCAGAGGAGCAGCTGCCTGGGCACAGCCCTGCTCCCAAGGAGCCGGCAGGAAGCAGATGGAGATGACACCAGCCATCATTTCCTGCGGCAGGACACGCGGGCTTTCTCCACCGCTGCTCCCCTTGGCGGGCCAGCAGGGCCTTGAGGACCACAGGCACTGCTGCTCAGGGCTGCCAAAGCCATGTGCCACACACAGGCACCAGCACCCTGCTGCACCCTCTGCCCAGGGTTACCCTGTGCCAACTGCATCCCGGTGTGGCACCTGCCAGGCCCCTGCCGGTCGGGGCACCGGCACTGGGTGCAAGTTGTCCACGCATCAGGGGCCCACCCAGGAGCTCAATCAGCAGGTACTGGGGGCATGGGACCTTCTGCTGCTGTCCCCAGCTCTTCCCAGCTCGCTGCTGGGATGGCAGGGGGAGAGCCCAGCCCTCGACTGCCCCCAGAGTGAGCCTGGAGCCCCAGGCAGGGCTGTGTGTCACCCCAACGGTGCAGAGCTACGTGAGGGAGGGCAGGCGCGCCCGGCGCAGCCCCCAGGCCTTGCACAACGGAGGTTTATTTGGAACGAACGCTTTCCCAATAAATTATGTAATTTAAAAATTTTAAGGAAAAGGAAAAAAAAAATAGGCAGAAGGGAGGGGAGCCCGTGGTAGCTCAGCCAGTGCAAAGGGACCACGGAGACACATGACACCCTAGGCTGGGCCCAGGCGCTGGCAGAGGCTCTGCGACAACAGCCCACTGCCCACTCCCCTCGTGTCTCTGGCCTCCCTCAGCCAAGGCCATGTGGCCCCACAGGCCTCTTAGTGTTTGAGTAGGACAGGCCACCCTCTTGTACCCTCAGTCACCAGTTCCAGGGGTGTCCCCTCCCCAGTTGTGTGCGACCCTGGCACTGCAGCCCCCCAGCACAGCCCCCACAGCTGCTCCTCTGGCTCCTGAGGTGCATTTCTGGCTCCTTTCACCCCCCCAAAGCCTGCACCTCCTGGGGAGGAGGGGATGGATCCCATCCACTGGCACGTGGTCACTCAGTGTGTCCTGCAAGCCAGGATGCAGGGACAGAAGCCACCTCCTGCTCTGTGCTAGGCACAGGACAGCCTGGGAGAAGCAGAGGGCAGCTCATGGCCCTGCCTGACCCCGGCCACTCCAAGCTACCTGCCCTTCCGTGTCCCCAAGGGATGCTGAGCACAGGGGAAGGGAGAGTGAGGGCACAATGTGAGGTGCAGGGACAGACCCGTGTGCTGGGGCCCTGGGAAGGAGGGGAGAGGGGAAGGCCCTGCCAAAGGGGGGAGGCCAAACGTCCAAACAACCTTCCTGGGACAGCACGATCCATAGCACAGTGACGGCATCAGGGCTGGCTGGGCCAGCCGTGTGGCAGAGGGTGACACAAGTCCCACACCAGTCTGGGGTGCTGTACACACCAGCAGGCATACCTGGCACTGGAGGCAAACAGCGTGCCACGGTCTCTGGGAGCACCAGCCGTCCCCACCCTTCTCCACAGCGGCTCCGGGGAGATGGGGGTGACACAGAGAAGCGTGACTCGGGTGACACAGCCACAGGACGACAGGTGCTGGCACAGTGCTCGGGTATCAACAGATCCACCCGGCTCCTGCGGAGAAGCCGGAGGCTCCAGTGGTGGATGGCAGTGCAATGAGCATGCAGGTCCTCTGGGGCACAGCGTGGGAAGGAGGGGGAACACATCCCTTCCAACTGTAAACATGGCACTTGGAGAGCTTTGAGCCTTTACCCCTCGGAGCTGTGAGAGGCCCGGCTGGAGCGCGGGCCCCGGCTTTGGCACGCGGCAGGAGTCACTCCTCGTCCCCGGCGAGCAGGAAGCTGTAGAGGAAGTTGATGGCACGCTGGCGGTCCTGCTGGGTCTGCTTGGCCATCAGGTTGGGTGGAGGGCGCAGGAGGAGGCTGGAGAACAGGGCAGCTGTGGAGGCAGGCAAAATCAGCCACTGGTGAGTTAGGGAGACCTTGGAAGGTGCAGAAAAGGGCTGGGACGGAGTGAGGGCGGCAGAAGCAGAGCAGAGCAACACCACTCACCGATCATGGCAACACTGACGTTGTTGTCCTCTGAGTACCTGAGCAGCTCCCGGAGGAAGGACATTAGGTACCGAAACACATTGCGGTGGCAGCTTGGCAGCTGAAGGATCACCTGCAAGGAAATGGCGTCAGGAAGCTCTCTCGGCTTCCATCGCTGTAGCCTGGGCACATGTAGCACTGTGGACTCCAGAGCAATGACCCCCAGCTGCAGTCCAGCGCCCATGGCACTCTTGGGCTTTTTCCTGGTGAAACAGTTTTCCTAGAAGCAGTGTCACCAGGAGCCACAGCCCACAAGTGCCCCAAACAAGTTCTCACTGCTCCAAAACTTGCCCCTCTGCCCAAGGACACGCCTGACCTGGCTTACTGCCCCACCAGCTATAAAGAGCCACTCACAGTCCTCTGAGGAAGGACAAGAATTGTAGCTGTGAGCAGGTGCTCAAGCCCTTAAGGACTAGAGGTGGCTTGTCCCCTCCCCTGGGCTGCTATTCCCCATGTACTCGGGGTGACACAAGGCTCACTTGGGGTTTCTTTAGAAGAGCTGCCAGCTCTCAGAGCCACTTGCCAGCACCCTGGAAGGGAGCAGGACCCAGGAAGGCACAGGCAGAGCCCCTGGCCAGCAGGAGCCCCTCACCTGTCGGCACAGCCGGCTGTTGTGTGACCAGTCCAGGCACCGCTGGTACAGCTCGTAGCAGATCACAGGCTCTGGCAGAGCCTCCAGGAAGATGAGGAGAGCTTCAGCCACGGAGTGATTACTGCCCGCTGGACCCATGGGAATCAAGGGCTGTGCTGAGCAGAGAGATCCCCTCCCTCCCCAGATGCTCCATCCCTCTCCTCCTCCCCAGGTGCTCACCTCTGCTTCCTCCCTGGAGGTTGTGCAAGCTTCTTGCCTGCCTAACTGCTCCTCCTTCTCCTCCTCTGCTGTCCCCCATCCATAAGAAACACTGCTCCATACACCCTACACTGCATTTCCCCACCCTCTGGCCACACAGAAGCTCTCTGCTCCATTAGCCCCTTCTCCAGACCATGCTCCCCAGTATCCCTGCACTTGGCAGAGCCCTGAGGAAGCTTCCAGAGCCCCCTGGCTGCTTTGGTCAGCACACACACAGCTTCCAGAGAGGTTGTGCAAGGACTGAGAGGAGCCCACACCCATCATGGACCCTGCCAGGTAAAGGTGACAGACAAGCTCTCCTGAGAGCAAGCTCTCCCAGCAGAACTGAGATCCATCAGGCAAGGATACGGATTGTCTCAGGAATGCTGGTGTCCAGGCAGTCAATGATCTGCTCCAACTCTCCTTGCATGCCTGGAGTCTGGAACAGGTCCTCCTGCCAAAAACAGCACAGGGATGGACAAAGTCATCTTCCCCATAAAGGCTGAGGCACATGGTGACTGTGGGGTGAACCCTGGGACCCCCAGCCAGTGCCTCAAGCACACAGAAAAGTCCTGCCCTGTAAACACAAAACTGGATCTGATCTTCGAGTGCTTATGAGGAACCAGGTCACCAGGAAAGCTGGCACGGCAGAGGCCCTCTCACCTGGTGGCAGGCGTGCTTGAACAGGTGGTCAACCAAGAGCCAGATCTCCTTCGGCACCTGTAGCGGCACCTCACCTGCCTCCTCACTGTCCAGGGAGCCCATCTGCAGGACGGATTTCTCCTGGGAACAGAGAGCACATGAGAGTTCAGGGAAACCTCAGTCCCTCTGTCTCAGTCCCTCAGTTGGTTTCCTACTCCCTTGTAGGGAAAGACAGGAGAGGGGAGGCAGCAGGACTCCACAACTGCTCTGGCCCTGACTCGCTTCCACAGCATCAGCCATTGCTCTGTAGGTCCTGGTTCTGCCCCTTCCTGCTGCCCCCAGGAACAAGCCCCTGACAGCCCCAGCCCTCCCAGCCCCACAGGAGGGGGCTCTGGCCTCCCAGGGTGGCCCATCCCCATCCCAGCTCCCACCCTGCAGCTGACAGAGGCTGGGACCCAGCAAGTCCTTGTGCTGCATGAGCTCCCACCCCGGGTTAGATCCAGCCCCTGGGCCCACTCATCCCACTGATGTCATGTCTGCCCCAGCTCCGGTGTGCTCCAGGCACGGTTACCCTCGGGGCTCTGAAGCAGTCCTGATTTCTGGAGTCTCTTCCCTGATTTTCCCAAGGAGAGTCTCACTGAGCACACAGAACCACTGCCATGGTTCCCGCTTACTCATGTGGAGCAGCCGATGAGCTCCACAGCTCAGACATCTCCATCACATCGAGCTTTAACAGGATCAATATTCTTGGCTTGATTTCACTTTCGCTTCATGATCACTCACATTCCTTCCAAAGAGAAAGCCATGCCCAGCACTCCCAAAGCACCCAGAGACCAGCACAAGCAAGAACACAACCCTGGCCACCAGCAGAGGAGCCCACAAGCCACACACAAAGTGCCTCACTCCAGCTGGCAGCTGAGGTGACAACTGCCATGGCTGTCCCTCTAGCACACCCTGGCAGCAGCCAGGGCCAGGGTCAGCTTCCACACCGCACCCAGAGACACCCTGGGTTGCCACAAGCCCAGTGGCACAGGCAGTAGCCCCAGCTGCCAAAAGGCACAGCACAGCTCTGCCCTGCACACCGCCAGGTCCGACCCAGCCAGCAGATGTGTGGTCGTGGCTGCACGGCTGCGAGGCAGCCACGTGCTCTAGGAAGGTTGGGAAGCAGCGTGTCAAGCAAGAGCACCACAGAATTCCCCTAAAAGGAGACAGAGGAGAGTACAGACCCTTCCCCAGGGCTGTGGACCCTCTTCCAGGGCTGTGGGCTCTTCTACAGAAACTCCCCGTGCCAGCGCATCGCTGGGGTTGAGTGTTGGAGCAGCCCTTGGCATGAGCGGGAGAACTGCGGAGACCTCCAAGCGGGAGATCCCAGCAGCTCACGGAAGAGGAGAAGGAGGAGGAGGAGAAGGCTCGGGGCGCCTCAAGGCGGGGGAGAAGGAAGAGGAGGAGGAGACAGAGGAGGAGGAGGTGTCGTGTGAGTTGGCTGGGCCCTGAGCGCCCTCTCCTGCCGCGTGCGAGGAAGGGACGCATGGCCGTGTCTTTCCCACGGGAAGATGCTCCTACACAAGGATGTTCCCAGAAGGCAGGCACAAATTCCTCCCTTCTCCTCTGCCAGTAGGGAGTCTGGGAGCTTCATCTGGTTTAACACCCGAGTTCAATCCCCTCTTAGAGAGGGGACATCCCTTCCCTCTCCTGTTTTAGCCTGTCACTGCACCGACAGCCCGGGGAGGAACAACCCACCCAGCCTGGGGAGGAACAACTCACCCAGCCTGGGAAGGCGGTGCAGAGCCAGCTCAAACAAGTTACAAATGCCAGAGCCCGCGTAGGGAGGGTGGGAACACCCCTGGCATCTCCCACTTGCTCTCTCAAGGACATGTTTTCCTTGCTTGGCTCCAGCACAGAGCACGGGTGCCAAGGGAAGCAGTGATCTTGCTTGGGCATCATGGCCATTGGAGCTGGCAGCCCCAGCAACACTGCTTGAGGAGGTGCAGCAATATCCACCTCCTGCAAAGGGCCTCCTTCGGCCTCCACAGGGACGCAAGCTGGAAGGAGCAAAAGACCTCAGTTTCCTGCTCCAGCCCTCTCCCCACAGGTCTGAGAAGGTGCTGTAGTAAACCCCACCTTACAAGCATGGTGTGCCAAAGGCTGCCAATCTTTTCTGGGAACATCCAGAATTGCTGCCAGGATCAGAAGAGTAAGTTTTCCCCCCCTCAGCAAATTTGGTGAGCTTTAACATCTCAGTTGGGCTTGGATCTGTGTGCTCCTCCACGTTCTCATCCAGCCCACAGCTGTGCTAAGAGGCTTTGCTGGCAGCCGTGTCCCCTCTGTGTGCCCTCCCCTTCCCTCTGCCACAGAAAACAAGGGAAAAGCTCTCATTCTTTACAAACACACCACTGAGAAGCAGACTGCCACACTGCAATTGCTTGTGTTACCTTTTCTAAGAAGCTGTCTTCTCCCTGAGAGCAGAGGGAAAGAGAGAAGAGGAAAAAAGTGTGATTAAGAAGGAGAAAGCACTCTTGGATTAACTCTTCTGATTAAGCAGAAGCTTAATTTGCATTACAAGAACCCACTGAACACCGGGTCCTTCACACATTTTGCTGACAAGGCCAAAGTTAAACCTGTGGTGAGAGATTTGCCTGCCAATTAGCAACAATCCTGCTCACATGATGCACAACCTCGTCAGGATTTCTGGCAAACCCTCCAAGGGGCTTGGACGGTGCTGTGCACTGGCCAACAGCTGGGCCATGGGCAGGTGAAACGTGTCCATCAGGAAGAAGTTCCGCTGGTCAGAATCAACGTCCCTATGTTACTTTAGCCACCTTCCCTTGTGACCCGGCTGGAGATAAAATATTCCCGGGGCTAAATCTGTGTTTCTGAGTGTGTGGCAGCTGTGGAGCTTCCAGGGCCCCTAAGCAGCTTTGGGTACTGTCAGGGAAATGAGGGTTTGTGCTCAAACCCCGGCTGCTGCTGCCGCAGCCTAAGAGCATTAGCACAGCGCGGGGAGGAGCGTGCCAAGCCCTCAGCATCCCCAAACAGCCAACCCTGTACCAGCCAGGGCAGGCTGGACACTGCTCACAGAGCCTGCAGGAGGGAACAGAAGCAGGTTGTCCAAGCTGAGTCTTGGCAGATCAACCTTTCGGGGTGGGAACAGCCCAAACACACTCCCAGGCCGAGCTGGGAGCAACTGCAGCTTCCATGGCACAGGGCACACGGGGAGGGAGCAGCATCTCAGGGTCCTCTGTGGCCTCTGCAGTGCCTGCTTCCCTTGGAGGCTCCCTGAGTTCTAACACAGCAACAACAGACTGGCCTCTTCCTGGGAACAGCTTGCTCCAAACAGGAGCTGGCACAGGTTCCTCTTCTGAGGCACAGGGGGAGGGACACAGTCACAGGTTTGGGAGGACACACAGCCACCTGCACAGGCTCATTTTGTAATGGGTGAGTCATCTCCAGCCTCACCACCCCTGACCTGCCTGTGCCTGGCTGCTCACCTCTTCATAGAGTCATGGAATGGTCTGGGTTGGAAGGGACCTTAAAGCTCACCCCGTTCCACCCCCTGACACGAGCAGGGACACCTTCCACTAGCCCAGGTTGCTCCAGGCTTTGGAGACTTCCAGGGATGGGGCAACCACAGTTTCTCTGGGCAACCTGTGCCAGGGCCTCCCCACCCTCACAGGGAAGAATTTCTCCCTAATGTTGAGCCTTCAGCACTGAACGCTCCATTCTGTGAGACTCACCTGTTTCTGACAGAGGTTCTTCAAGAGGCTTTTTAAAGCCCACAGTAGGATCCCAAGAAAAAACAGGATGAGACACTAATACTGAAATCACAAAGGAGAGGTGCTCAAGTGTCAGCAGCACTGTCAGTGTCTCCTTCCTGGGAGAACCAGGAGAACCATTTCCAGACAAACTCCCATCTATACTGCACTACCCAACACCCACCTGCCTCAGCCCCTTACTGACCTGCATCTCCAGACCTCCAAACACAGCCCAACCAGGCTGAGGAAAACGCTGGATGCAGTGAAGGACAAGCCCTAACACCACACAAGTGAAGGAGGGAAAGTGGTTCTTAAGGCACAGACACTGCTGGCCTTACACAGCCTGAGCAGTACCTAAACACAGGGAACTGCACCCAAACACTCTGGGCTGCAGAGCAGGCAGCACCTGCACCACTGCCCTGGGGCAGGAAGTGCTCAGCTTGGTCTGTCTCCAAGAATTTCTCAGCTCACAGGTAAGATCAGAACCAAAACACCTAAAATAGCTCTCCCCTTGGACATGGGGGATGTGTCCACACTGCAGACACTGAGGCAGGTGCTCTTTGCTGATTGATTCCTGTATTTCTAGATGTTTCAGTGAGTGACAGGAGAAGGAAATCTACAGGTAAAGGAAGGAGAAGAAGCCTCAAAGTACTCTTAGAAAAGTAACAGTGTGTGACTGTGAGGACAGAGTCTGGGCCCAAGTTTCTATCAAGCAAGAGGTGCTTGGTAGAGCCCTCAGTGCTGAGCAGGAAAAAGCAGGTGGAAAAGCCACCAAAGCCAATGAAACGCTCCAGATCCAGTTCTAGAACAAGACTGACTTTCAATTGAATCCTGAGAAGTCTGAAGAGCCTGAAGTCTGGATCAGCTGCTTGACCTGAGGAGGCAAATGTATACTGCCACCTGGATCCTGCTTAGCCTGATTGTGTGTTACAAAGTCAAAATTCTAGTATAAGAATGACCTTTCTGTGTATTGGACTTGTCAGAAAAGTAAAGTAGAGACCTACAACAAAAGGTGGGAACTGGAAGAGGCAACAAGAAGCATGGGGCAACTGCTGAAGGGAAAATGTGGAAGCAATGGGAGTGGAAGCTGACAAAAAAACCCTCATGGAAGGATGAGACTGTGAGAAATGAGAGAAGAGAGAAGGTACCACATGGCATAGAGACTCAAGCAGGGCTGAGCTTTCAGGTGAACAGAAAGAAATGGCTTTCCTGGCTGAACAAGAATGGAGACATGGACTAGAACTCAGGAGCTGCTGCACCTCACTGGAACAGGGCCAGATAAGGCCATCAGGAGAGACAAATGAAACCAGCCTGGAAATCAGAATTACATCCCCAACATGGGGCTTAATCCCAGAAATGGCCATTAGAGACACCCAAAGGACAAAAGGTGACTAGGGCAGAACTGCACCCCCTCACGTGCACATGATAAGCTTCAGGACGAGGAATACTGGGAGCTGGTGAATGCTGAGGAGAGGAACAGTTCTCTGCACCACAGAGATATCTCTCAGTGATAAATTATCTCTCAGTGATAAATTATCTCTCAGTGATGAATTATCTCTCACTGTGGTTGGTGTGGGAGAAACTGGCCAGAGAGGCCATGACATGGCCCATTTGCTGAGCTGTGCCCATCAGCACACCACACCCAACACCACACTCCTTCCTTCAGTCCTCCTGCTTCTGCTTGCTCCTTTGCCCTGAGCAGTGGGAATGCATCCAGAAGGAAAAGGCTCCTGGAGCACTTGGCCCAGCAGAAGAAGCCTTGGCACCTGAGAGGACAGGACCTCAATCACACCTCTTATGACACAAAGTGCCACCCAGCTGAGCCTGCCAGCACCACTAACACCAACATGAGGTGCTGGGATCACTTTTTTGTCCCATCAAACAATGTTTAGAGTCCACTCAGACAAAAGGGATAAAGTATAGGCTGTCCAAAGCCATTGGCTGTGGTGGAGGGGAAGAATAAAAGAGCACCTCAAGCTCTGTGAAAAGTCACTCAGTTCAGGGCCAGCACAGCCAATCTGAGCTGCAGGCACTCCTGCTTTTGGGAGTAATCAGGAGTCAGGTCCCTCCCTGTTAAAGGAGCTCCTCCAGAACACTGCTACTCACCAGGTCAATGAGTTTGGTGACTGGAACTTCTCGGATCGGTCGCTTCATTCGGCACAAAGCCTCGAGGGAGGTGCCAAAGCAGCTGGGCAGGTAGGTCCCACTGATGGTCAGGAAATAGTCCTTCCCTCGGTCCAAGTGCAGGACAAGAATATCCTCAATTTTATCCTCGCCGGAGTTCAGGAGGGTGACCGAGTCCTTGCTGACGTACACGTCCAGGGAGATATCTGTGCTCTCATCTGCAACACACAGGAGATCTCAAGAATATACAGACACTCTCCAAAAGGGATGACAAGGACAAATATGCAGTGGCAAGGACAAAGGCCACAAAAGAGAAGACAAACAGACAAGGCTGACGGCAAGAAACATGGGACATGGGAGAGAAACATGGGAGAGATGGGAGGGACTGAATGGAGATGGGATAGGAGCCTACACCGATACACAACTCACCTGGTTCCAGGTAACCTTCACAGGGCTCGGCCCGAAGCCATGGCTTGCAGTAGTGGCTGTCGTTGAGCTTAGGGATGAAGGAGAAGTGACAGGTGACCTGCCCATTATTGGTAATCTTAAACTTCTGCTTCTGCAGCTGACGGAATTTCACGTTCTCAAACTCAAACTGCAAAGAGAAAACACAAGTGATGTTAGTGGCCACAATGGGGCACACATCCAGACTCCCCCAGGCTCTGCAGTGGCCCCCAGACATTGCTGTGGCCCCCCATGGCTGAGAGGAGCGCACCGAAAGAGTTCAATTTCCTATAATCGAGTTCATTGAACCAAAGTCTTTAAAAGTAGTTCTGGCACTTCTAATTAGGCTGATGCGTTTGGGAAGTGACAGTGATTCTGGTCTCATCCTCACCTCTCTCCTGCTCAGCTCCAGTGAAGGAAGAAAGTCATTCTCCATCCTGTCCATTATACGAACGATGTCTTCGAACAGCTTCCGGTACTTCTGCTCATCCACAATCTTCACCTGTGGGAGACAGAAAACACTCAGCAAAGCTTCTGATTGGCTTCACGGGAACTCTCTTGGTCATGATCAAACTGCAGAAGTGAACTATTTCTCTGAGCATTTGCTTGTGCAGCTGAAAGGCTGAGAGGGTTCATGTGCCTGGGTGCACTCCCAAGCAGCATCTGCAACCTTACCCATTTCACCCCTGCAGATGTTACCAGGGTCTGTCTGGTCACTGGTCACACTACTGGGAAATCACTGGGGGAATCTCTTTTAAGGAGACTCAGCCTATTCCACTCAGCCCTGGTGAGGCACATCTGCAGTGCTGTGTCCAGTTCTGGGCTTCTCAGTACAGGAGGAACATGGAGCTCCTGCAGTGGGTCCAGCAGAGGCTACAGAGATGCTGAAGCTGGAGCACCTCTGGGACCAAGAAAGGCTGAGAGAGCTGGGCCTGTTCAGCCTCAGGAAGAGACACTAAGAGGGGATCTCATCAATGTCTGTCAGTAACTGCAGGGAGGGGGCAGAGGATGGACCAGGTGTCAGTGGTGCCAGGCAATAGGACAAGAGGCCACAGGCAGGAACTGGTGCTCAGGAAGTTCCACCTGAACACGAGGAAGAAATTCTTCCCTGTGCAGTGACTGAGCACTGGAACAGATTGCCCAGAAAGGGTGAGGAGTCTCCCTCACCGGAGATATTCCAGAACCATCTGGATGCAATCCTCTGCCACGTGCTCCCTGCTTGAGCAGGGAGCTTTGACCAGATGCCCCATTGTGGTCCCTTCTGACCTGACCCCTTCTGGGAGAGCAGGAGGCAGCAAAAATGGACATGGTCTGTCCCCATTCACTAAGCCAGGAATCCCAAATGTCCTGCCAGCCACTCACCACCAAAGACATTCAGGTGTGAACCAGTGACAGTCTGTTCACACATCTGGGGCAGCACAGGTACAACCAGACACAGGCTACTGCTGTGTCTCCATGCGGTGGAGAGAACACAGGGGCTCCCCCAGTCCAGTACTGCCAGAGGCAGCACCCCCACAGCAGCCACACCTCAGTTGGGTTCATCTGTCCTCTTGCAACAGCCTTAGCAGAGGTGTCCTGACTCCTGAAGGAATGCCTGGAATTGCTGGGATCCTGCCCCAGCACATGGATAAACCTACCCCAATGCGGAAAAGCGCGCTGACAGGCTTGTGGTCACTGGTCTTCAGGTCCATGTGACTGCAGTACCGGAGCTGACTGATGTTCCCTCCTCTCCAAAGGATCCGATCACACCACGCCGGCACACGACACTTCCCACTACAAAGAAAAAGAGGTTACCAGGGAAATCCAACGATCCTAACAAACCAACCAAGCTGTTCCTTCTCCTAGCCAGCCAGCTCCCTCCACCCCCACCATCACAGCAGTGATGGGATGAACCCTATCACTTCCCCCAACCTGAATTCTGTGTTATTTCTTCTGCTCTCTACCCCTTTTTCTGACGCAGCAGCTAAAATTCCTGTCCCTTCCAGCATCAGGAAAACAAAACGACTCAGTCAAGCCCACTTCCACAGCCTGAAGCCATGTGTGCTGTGACCCAAGCTGCGTGACTTTCTTTTGCCGCCAGATCTTTCTGCCCACAACTGGATCCATCACTTATTGTTTCCACTATGGAAAGTCTACTCAGCGATTACTATCATGTTATGAAGCCTGAATCCTAGGTTATCCTTCTTCAGATTAACTACTGTGCTGATTCATAATCACAGGCAGAGTCAAATCCAATCACTATACGGCCTGAAACTCCTTCTTGGGAGTTTCTCCCTTCGGAGCAGCCCCTGCAGCAGATGCAGCCGTGAATGGGGGAGGCATCAAGCAGGAACCACGGCTGCTATCACAGCACAGCCACCCGTGGGTGTGCAAGTCAGGGGACAGGGTGACTCAGAGAGCCTGTTTCCTTATCTCTGCAATTCCTTTTTATGTGTTTGCCTGTCCTTGGTAAAAGAGAAAGCCCCCAGTGCAGGGCCACCTGAGCTCATGCTTCACCTGCCTTCATCCAGCAGGATCGGCAGCAACTGCGGTTTAAGGGATGCGCCCATTCATCATACACAGGGGCTGCTTATTGCAGAAAACGGGAAAGAAAGGAGGGCAAACACAACACTGACAGGTACTTCCAGCTCTAGGAAGCAGGAAATCAAGTTTTGGGAGAAAATGCTTTTTATGTCATAAGTAAATAAGCCCAGTGGTAGCCAATGTACCTGGAGTCCCAGCGATCTGTTTTAGAGTCATATTTATACGTGGGGATGAATTTAATCTCTCCCTCCATGAAATCTGCAAATGCTTTCTTCTGAGTGCGCTGAATATTCAGCTAAAGCAAAAAAAGAAAGCTTTAAAAAGAAAAAAACCAAACCAAATCAAATAAACCCTCCCCCACACAGCAGTGTCACAGAGCAGATCTACAGGCAGAGCAACCACGACCCGTGGCCATGGAATTCACAGACATCCCCAAATTGCCTCTGAGACCTCACACCTTTAAGAGAGGTAAAAATTCAACTCGTCAGTGGAATGTTTTCCAAACAGACCGAGTACAAATGGGCACCAAGCCATGCAGGCAGCATCAAATAAGAGTTAAGGGAAATACTAACTGCTCTGCTTGTGCTGAATGCCTTCATTAGTTTTCAGGCTCAAGGTCACCATTATTAAACTTTCCCTGCCAACCATTTTAGCAAGAGCCTCTAGGACTGCCCTTGGTTGATAACCTGACACCACCCTCCTTTGCTCGTTTCCTCTTCTGAAAAATCTCCTGGTTGTTTTCCTCACTGAAACCTAAGCCACAGCTGTTTCCTGCACAAAGCTCTGTAGCACAACAGAAATGAGCTACAGAGCAGAATGAGATTCACTGTTAAACCGTGTCAGAGGTGATATTGCACAACTGCAGTTGGGTTTCACAGGAGCAATCCTTCACCTGAAAGGTACCTGCCCTGGGTTTCAGGGTGCTGCAGAGAAGTGCCGAGTGGGGAAGGCGGCAGCACAGAATTCAGGTCAAGCTAGCTGAGCAGATTTGGGCTCCAAATCAATACCTCTTCCACTACACTGATCACAGCAGCTTTTGTTGCTGTTACAAATTCCTGTGTTCAGCTTGTAGTTTGTACATAAGAGAGAATTCCTGCACTGAGACAGAGACACACCTCCATGGTAAATGCCTGAGTCACCCAGTTAATCCAGTATGGACAATCTGGTTTTGTTCAGGGGGTTGTTGCCACCAGTGCACCCAGAGCTCCATCAGGGTCCAGTGTCTGTGTCTATAGATCCTTCTTACAGAGTGTCATGGAATTAGATTGGAAAAGCCCTCCAAGACCATTGAGTCCAATCGTTCCTGCAGCATTGCCAAGCCACCATTAACCCATGCCCCCAAGTGCCACATCCACACGTCTGTTAAATCCTCTCAGGACTGGGGACTGCCCTGTGCAGTCTGTGCCAGGGTTGTTCAGCGTGTTTCAGAAAGAAATTTTCCCTAATATCCAACCTAAACCTCCCCTGGTGCAACTTGAGGCCATTTCCTCCTGTCCCTTGTTCCCTGGGAGCAGAGCCTGATCCCCACCTGGATCTACCCTCCTGTCAAGGTGCTGCAGAGAGTGAGAAGGTCCCTCCTGAGCCTCCTTTTCTCCAGGCTGAGCTCCCCCAGCTCCCTCACCTGCTCCTCATCAAACCTGTGCTCCAGCTCCTTCCCCAGCTCCATGTTTGCCAGCTCCTTCCAAGTACAGGCATATCCTAAACCAAGACAACCCCTCAAGGATGGGGCAAATGTGAGTTCACTGACCTGGTCATATGTCAGCAGCTTCTGAAGCTCGTTCTTGCTGATGAGACTCTTCACTTCACTGGCATCTGGTAGACACAGCCTGTAGTTCAAGTCTCCCAGCCAGATGACAACACTGGAAACAAAGACACATATAGAATCATGGAATGGTTTGGGTTGGAAGGGACCTTAAAGTTCATCTTCTTTCACCTCCCTGCCATGGGCAGGGACACCTTCCATCAGCCCAGGTTGCTCCAAGCCCCGTCCAACCTGGCCTTGGACACTTCCAGGTATCCAGGGGCAGCCACAGCTTCTCTGGGCAACCTGTGCCACGGCCTCACCACTTTCACAGGGAAGAATTTCAGAGCAGATCAGCAATTAACATCTCCCTTTTTTTAATCATATTATGGTTGAGACATGTGGAAGACAAAAAAGAAGACATGAAAGATCGAGTCCAAAAGCAGAAATTTCTAGTGGCAGCAGATTCTACAGGACTAAGTCCATCTCCCGTGGAATCTTCCAAGGACTGAAGACTTAGTTTAGTGGGAGATAATGAGTTGGCCTCAGCCCAAAAAAAGCTAGAGAACAGCACTGACCCTCTAATGAAGTGAAATCAGTGTATCCCACCAAGCTTCACACAAAATCTAGCTGGTATTCAGGCTCTTCACATGTTCAGAAGAGGGAAGTGGTGGAGCTCAGTAAGCAGAGCCTGCCTGTCAGCCAGCTGGGCAGGAGAGGCACCTGTATCTGCAGGGTCACACCTCGTGTGACATCCCGCTTTTACCTGTTGGTTTTTCACCGCCTTTCATTCAACCAGAGCAGGTTACTGCTGCACCAACTCCCCAACAAAGACCAACTGATGCAGAATTGGCAGGTGCAGAGTTAGATTCCTGTGGAGTTTACAACCTTCTGGATGTTGTTTCCTATCTCAGCCATTAGCCACACCTCACCAGCACCCGCTTCCACTCTGCTCCTCTCCAGGTTTCCAAATGGACCTACAGCCTTGTCATTACCAGCAGCTAAAGAAACACTCTTGGGACCCACTCTTTACTCCATAAAGGGTTCATTTAAAGATTAAAATTTAGCCCCCCCTCTAGTACCAGAACTCTCCCTGTTTATAGTCAAACCTCAACATTTCCACTAGTGGATTATCAAGGATAATCTAATAGTTGAAGTATTTTCTGTACTAATCCACTCTACATTTTATTTTTGTTTTTTAAATGGTTTAAATATTAACTACAGAATTACCAGTCATTTGTATTCTGTTTAGGCCTGCTGAAGAGTTACACACAAATGCAAGGAGAGGGATGCTGGAGACAGTGCAATGAAGAGGTGACCAGAGGTTGTCTGCAGGAGCTGCAGAACAGCACAGCCCTTGGCACTTCTTGTTATTTTATCAAGCCAGAAAACTTATCTGCATGAAACCTCCCGTTGCTGCAATTCCGGCTCGATTTGGGTAAACCAACACCGCTTCAAAAGGGAAAACATCAACACAGCTCACTCGTGTTTCATGATGTTGAGCTGAGGCAGGCTGTCATCGGGGGTCTCAAAGCTCATCCGGGCACAGATGTCCTTATAATCCTGGTTCCGGCGCTCGAAGTCCTCCACGTGGGCAGCCAGGTGGGAGTTGACGACGCAGAAGGTGGTGTTGTGGAACACAAACCTCACGGCCACGCCGCCCTTGTTGCCCTGGGAACAGCAAGTACCAGTGGGGTTAGAGCAGGAGTCAGGTGTGGCACAGGGAGGGGACAGGGGTGGCACAGGTAAACAAAAACAGGCTGTGCTGCTTCTCGCATGGATACAGGGAAGCAACAAGCTGGCCTCGGTGACTCACCATCTTTCCCATGACTCCCGTGCCCACAGACTCCGTCACGATCTCTCTGATATTGCTCAGATGATCCTTCTTAGCAAACACGAGCAACATCATCCCAACCAGACGGACCATCTGCACCTGCGAAGATAAACGGGATCCTGAGTTCCCAGAGAGGCAGGGGGAATGCAGTTCTGATCTGCCTGCTCTGCCTGATGCTCTGCTGCTCTGGCTCTCCCCGTTCCTCATCATGTTCTGTACTCAATCCCTAAATTTAATAACATTGCTGAAAGGGCCTCCTGTCCCACAGGAAGGTTCTGGGGGTCAATCTGTCACTCCCCAGAGTCGTGAGCTGTGCTGAGCTCACTGCATTCCCCATGCTGGTGCTTCTCTACAACAGGATGAGGTAAGAGAAACTGAATAAATACACATCAGGTCTGTTGGTGAGGTCTCAGCCTTTGTCAGCACAACCAGAGAAGACCCTGAGTGCTCCAGCCAGTTCTGGCATAAAGCTGTGGCTGTGCTGAGGCTGCAGGTGCAGCTGGGAGTCAGGGCTCACCTTGGCTTACTCCTAACTCCAGCAGAGCCAGTGGCACATGCAAAGGGGAATGGACAAAGATGTTCTTATTTCCCCGAGGCAGACATGCATGGGGTATCAAAAGGCATCTCTGAGCTGTACAGGTTGATTGGTTTTCAGGATACACTCGTTCCCTAAAGCAAAGGGCCTCTCTCTGGAGCTGAGCTGTTCTCCTCTGTTGCAGAATTCAGCCCCCAGGGCTTAACACTGTGCTCATGTGCTGTGTCCCAGTGGGGATCCTGGCTTTGCTGCTGATCTTTTACACGTGCTAAGCCAACGCCTGCCCAGTCTGTGATCTTCCTGAACCTCCAAAACAGTGGGGTCACCACTCTGAAACAGTGACAAGGCCTCACCTTCTGGAGTGCAGTCTGCACCCTCACAGAAACTTTCAGATGTGTTGGGATTAAGTCTAGGGAGTGAGGGAAGAAGCTGAGAGCTGGAAGAGCCCAGCACCCAGTCTGCTCTGCAGAAGTGGAATTTACAAGTGACCACAAGTCTTATCTACAGCTTCAGCCACTTCCCCCTCCTGCAGCCGTATCCTGTGCTCTCTCTTTCACCAGGGTGGGAGGAATTCACCCAAAACTCAAGTAAAGAAAAGGGCCTCTCTGCACTGCAGGCCATGACTCCTGACTCCCCTTGATGGGTCTCAGCTCAGCAAGGTGCTCTGTTCCCTGCTTCACTCCCTGTAACACCTGCCCCTGAGCTCAGCTCAGAGCAAGCAGGACAGGGTGTGACATTGAACACGCGGGCTATGGAGGACAGGGAAACCCATTCATATATTTAGGACTGGTCCCTGCAGCAGAAAGGTTTGCTACAGCAGACATAAAACCAATGGCTTGCTCTTAACCAGCCAGAACAAAGTCCTGCCACAGCTGAAGCAATTCTGTCCCAAGGCAACAGCCTCTGGAAGATTTTTTTTTCATAAATCATCCCATTCTTTCAGGAAAAAGTTATTAATTTGATTTACCAGCTCAGGACCCACCTGGCTTCTATACTACAGGGTGAGATGGTAACACAGGTATAGGATTTGAACCTGTTGCTTCCCTGGCACCACCTTCCTATTTGATAAAGGTATTGTGATCCCCACCTTTATAAATTTCTGCTTCGAAGAACAATATTCCCCCACAACTGTGGGGAAGAAATACACACTCCAGATTTAACTTGGCACACTTGACACATGCCCAGTACCACCCTTGGTTTCTCCAAGCCCTGCTCCTTGGGTAGGTGAGGAAAGGGGAAGCCCCTTTCCCTTTTCCTTCCCATCATGCCAGCTCCATGACAAGACACACCACTGAGCAGAACTCACTTTCTTGTACTTGGCCTGAGGATGCAGGGCCCTCTCCACAGCAGCCAGCCACTCCTGCTCCTTCGTAGAATCAAAGTAGAAGAAAGCCTCTGTGCTGAGGTCCAGCTCCTGGAACCTGGAAACCCAAGAGCTTAGCACCTTCAGCCCTCATGCACATCCCCCTCTTCCTACAGGAATGCAAAACCTCCAGCAACAGCCCTTGGAGGAGCAGCTCCTTATGGCCACTTGCTAAATAAAGCAGCACAATTTCCCCATGGTGCCTCTGAGACCCTACCCATAACCCCCCTAGCAACCCTCTCCCCTGGGAAGCACCCCTTTAGGCAGAGGACAACCAGGGAACTCTGCAGATGCCTCCAGGAAAATTGGTTATGTCACGCCAGCCTTGTTTAACCCAATCCTCTGCCTCATCCGACAGCTCTCTGCCCTCAGACAGCTCCTGTGCAACACAACTCAGCTCTGTGCAGCCTCTGGAAGCATGACAAGAACCTAAACCAAACACAGCCCTCCAGGATCCCAGCAAGAGCAACAAAGAACCAGCCCTGTTAGTAAATCTAGGTTGCTGCCACTCACCCGACACAGTAGAAGTCCGGAGGCTCCGTGTCACACACCAGCCACGGCTCCAAGAAGCTGTCAGGAGACTGCCCGTTCACATTCCACGTTCCCACAAAAAACCTACAACACAAAAGCAGCTGAACCGTCAGAAAACACAATGAAAACCACAGCAGCACAGCAGTGTCCTGGCTGGGAGCAGACACTGTGAGCACACACTGGGAGCTGCCCCTGCGTGGGGCTGTGCCAGCCAGGGGGGAACTGAAATTCACAGGATCCCAGAATCCCTGAGGTTGGAAAAGACTGCCAAGATCATCGAGTCTAACCTGTGATCAACCCCCTCCTTGTCACCCAGCCCAGAGCACTGAGTGCCACATCCAGTTGTTCCTTGAACACCTCCAGGGATGGGGACTGCACTGCCTCCCTGGGCAGCCCCTTCCAACGTCTGACAGCCCTCTCTGTGAAGAAATTCTTCCTGATGTCCAACCTGAACCTCCCCTGGCACTGCTTGAGGCCGTTTCCTCTTGTCCTGTCACTTGTTACCTGGGAGCAGAGCCAGACTCCCCCTGGCTCCACCCTCCTGTCAGGGAGTTGTATAGAGTGAGGTCTCCCCTGAGCCTCCTTTTCTCCAGGCTGAGGCTATCCAGCCTCTCCTTAAATAATTCTCCCAGGTGTGGGTCACTCCCAGTGACACTCCTCCTGGACTAAGACATTCCACCAGCAAACATCTGGGTCTTTTAGCAACATGTCATGTAGGGCAAAATCAGGACAGCATGATGGGACATCTACCTTCACCCTTTCTGCCCAACTGCTCCAGCCTCATTGAGGCTCAGGAGATCTGACACACACAGGGAGAAGACACAATAGGAGCAGCTGCACCACGGGCACTTGGTGACTTTCAGGCTGTACCATCCTCACTGGCCACTTGAGCTGCCATCCATCAGCAGCTGCCAGGATATAAATCTGGGCGAGATCTGAGCTCACAGCAGAGATCCCACAGCTCTGTCCCTTCCTCCCCACTCTCACCTGAAGTTGTGCCAGTTGATGTAGGCCTTCTCCCTCTTGGCCAGCACGTGTTTGATGAGACCCTCTCTCTGCCCTGACTGCGTGCTGGGCAAAAACATCTTGCGCATCGTGTTGGTCACTTTGGGCTGGTCTCTGGATGTACCTTCTCTCTCTCGGGGAAATCTAGGAAGGAGGCAAAACCAGCACTGGAACTTGTTCTGCTGTCTAGGAAGAGAAGTAAAAAAGGGAACAGATGCCCTGTGTTACTTACTGTCTGTTCTGAGGAACAGGAGGAGGTGGGGGCTCCCGCCGAGATCCACCCGCTTGGTGGTTTTGCATATTCCTTTTCTCTTCTAGGCTCAGAGTGCTGAAGTCATCCTCAAACCCCAGAGCTCCTGTAACGAAAAATCCAAGCACAGTGCCCTGAGAAACAATCTGAAACAGCTCTGATCAAGATGGAAAAAAATGTAACTCCACTGAAAGCAAAAACACCCAAATGATAACAGGAATTTATCAACTGTGTGACTGAGGGAATGGGAGAAAGGGGCACTAATCACAAGTCAAGGCAGCAGGGAGCTTACTACACACAAACTAAGGCAGAAAAGAGCACTCAGGAAGGAATGAACAGACCAGGGAGCAGAGGCCAGGCTGCCAAGGGCAGGGTCAGATCCAGGTCCCACCCCAAGCACCCCAGCACTGCACATGCCCCTGAGCAAAGCCAACTGTACCTGGAGGAGAGGCCTGCAACAGACCCGGGAGGCTCTTCTCCACCTGATGCCAGATGGCTCCATCCTTGGCTTCAGGAGAAGCTTTCAGGTGGGCTGGAACAAACCCCACCCTGTCAGAAACCGCTGACAAGTCAGAGGATTTCACACACACAGAGATGCAGCTCTGCTCACCCTCCTGGATGCTCTGCACTTCGGACAGGAATCCCAAGCAGCGCTCCTCGTCAGGGATCTCAAAGAGCCGCTCCGGTGTCTCGTCGCCCTGTATCCGGACCTTGCAGCCTGCTTCAAACACACTCACACAGTCAGCCCAGGCCGGCTCACAGTCGGTCACCAGGCTTTACACACAACTTCCAGGTGTTGTTTCTGATGGAAACCTAAGTTACTCTCCCTGCGCTTCTCAAATCCCCCCCACCCTGCTTGGGGTATCCTCAGCAGGTTCTGGCTTTAGGAATCCTTCTTCCTACTGCAATCTATCAGAGAGGAGCTCTAAAAGCAGTATGAAAAATTGCAAATGTTTCAATCATTTGCATTTCAGGTCTTGTCTGTTGCAATAACCGATTAGTTATTGGCAGAGCCAGATGACAACATCAGAGGGAAAACAATCCTGGCTTGAGCAGAGGACAAACACAGAGCCTGGGGGAAGACTGGGAAGGTGAAACAAGCACCAGGCAGCTGTTCCCTGACAGGTCAGACACACCACTGCCCTTTAAAACTTACTGTTTGCAGCTATATCAATCAGCAGAGTTTCTTCTGCCTCTGGAAAAGAGAAAAACAGGATCAGGACAGCTCATGCTGGATGCTGCAGTAACTGAGGACTTAAATAATCACACTGCTTGCTACAAACCACAAAAGAGTCCTGAAAGAGGAACAAACAGCTCTAATTTATGTACATTCCTAACGGCTCTGGCACAGAGAACCTAGACAGTCACCTCCTACCAAGTGTCCCAGGGAGATTCCCAGCACACAGAGTTCTCACACACTTGGATGGTTTTTCCCCATCAGTGCAGCTACTTTGGGAAAGACCAACCTGACAAGGAACTTCAGAGCTTCTCTACAGTGCAAGACCAGGGGTAGAACCTCACTGAGCTGCACAGAAGGGAATGAGCCAATCTGGCTAAAGTTGCTTTTATTCCTGACAAGAATTTGTCCCAAGGACACTTGCAGCTATTTAAGTCCTTCCAAGCCAAGGCCTAAAGCCCTTCCCAATCCAACTGCTGGGAGCTGAGAGCTTGCCAGACCTTACGGAAATTTAGATCTGAACATGCAGGAATCAGGCAAAAGTTCCCAACTCTCGACACGACAGAGAAGCCAGAGAGACAGACACCACTAGACACCAAATTCCAGCCCCTGCAAGCCCACCATGCACCGGGGCCAGCCAAGTTCCTCACGACTGCATGCTGACATGGAATGACAAACCACTTGGATGAGGAACAAGGGGATTCCATAAACTGTGAGTTGCAGTCTCACGGGGAAGCATACAACCCACACCTGCTCAGGAGGGAGGTCAGGAAACACCGCTAAATTTGGGGTTGTGGACGAACAGCAGTGGATTCCCACCCTCCCCCCAGCAGTCAGTACCTTGCACACACTTAAAGCGGCTGTTGATGGGAATATAATCCGGATCGGAGTTTTCTTTCTCCTGCGAGTGGATAACGATCCTGCGGACAGGAAAATGAGAAGGCTTGTAAAAACCCGGCAGCAACGCCCTGTTCTCTCACATACAACACACACAAACAGCCGCGGGAGCCGTGTGTACACAGACACGGTGTGTGATTGCTATCGCTGTACTGATGGGGAAGGAACAAGGAAAAAGCAACACAGGTGGGACCGCGCAGGACGCGGGTGCCCGTGGGGAGAAGTTAAGAGCTGTTAACTCTGCCTGGCGCGGGGCAGATCCAGAACCACAAAAACTCCAACCCTGCGGCTCCGGCGGCCGGAGGATGAGCGGAGACCGCCGGAGGCACGCTCGGCTCCCGAGAGTCACGGCGGCCGTGGCACCGACCGAGCCGGGCCGGGCCGAACCCCCGCGCCCCATCCCGGCCCGCACTCACCCGTAGCGGCCGCCCCGCCGCGCCAGGCCGAGCACACACGGCTCCCGCCGCCCGGCCCGCACCTCCGCGCCGGCAACGCTCTGCGCCGCAGCTAAGGAAACCTCCGCACCGCGCCCCGCCCCGCCCGCCCGCCCGGCCCCGCCGCTCCCGGTGGATACGAGCAGGCCGCGGCCCGCGGCGCGCGCCTCCATGGCGGCGCTCGGTCTCCCGGCGACTCCGCGCCGGTCACGGGCGCGGGGCACAGCGGGGCAGAGCGCCGCCCGCCGCCGCCCCCCGCGCCCCCTGCCGGCGGGCGGACCCCACCGCCCGTTGACCGAGGCGGAGGGCCCCGGGGCTGCACCCGCAGCGCGGCGGGAAGCGGGAGCGCACCGGGGACGAGGGCAGTTGCGAGTCCTCCGGACTCCCGCCGGGTGCCCCGCACCTCGCCTCGCCTCCCACACGGCGGGGACGGCACGGGACCGGCGCCGGTCCCGGAGTCCCCCGCCCTCCCGGGGCAGCGCGCAGCCACGCCCCTTTGCTCCCGCCCCCGTGCTGATTGGCTGAGAGCCGCGGTGATTTGCATGTGAAGCGGTGCAGGACGGGAAGAACCGGGTTTGAAGCGCCATGGCGGCCTCGGCCCCGGGGCAGGCGGCGGACGAGGAGCAGCGGTACCGGGGGTGAGCGGGGCCGGGCCGGGCGGTGTGCGGGGACTGAGCGGCGGGGGCGAGGGGCTCCGGGGCGGGCAGAGGCGGCCCCAGAGCGGGGGTGGCGGTGGCGGGCCAACCTCCCCCGGTTGCGGGCCGGGCCCGGGCGCGCGGTGCTCACGGTGACTCCCGCAGGTTCGTGACCAGCGCGAAGGCAGCGGCGGGCGATGGGGACCTGGAAGAGGCGCTGCGGCTGTTCCGGCTGGCGGCCGCCATCCGCCCCAGCGAGAAGCTGCGGGGCCGCATGCAGCGGGTGGAGGAGGCGCTGGCAGCGGCGGCGGCCGAGCGGGAAGGGCAGGAGGAGGAGGAGGAGGATGAAGGCTTCGTGGATGTGTGCGGCAGCGGCCTGCTGATCTACGGGGAGATGCACGAGAAGCTGTTCCAGCACCAGCGGGAAGGGGTTGCATTCCTGTACCGCCTGCACCGGGAGGGCAGGCCAGGTGGCATCCTGGCAGATGACATGGGCCTGGGCAAGACCATCCAGGTCATCGCCTTCCTCTCGGGTATGTTCGATGCTGAGCTCATCCAGCATGTCCTGCTCATCATGCCCACCACCCTGGTCAGCAGCTGGCTGGCCGAGTTCGCTCGCTGGACCCCCGGCTTGCGTGTCAAGGAGTTCCACGGCACCAGCAAGGCGGAGCGCGCCAGGAACCTGGAGAGGGTCCAGAGGAAGAATGGCATTGTCATTACGAGCTACAATATGCTCATTAACAACTGGAAGCAGCTGGCCAGTTGCCACGAGGAGGAGTTTGTCTGGGACTACGTCATTCTTGACGAAGCACATAAGATCAAGTGCTCATCGAACAAGACGACGAAGTGCGTGTACGCGATCCCAGCCCGGCACCGCGTCCTGCTCACGGGCACCCCCGTGCAGAACAACCTGCGGGAAATGTGGTCCTTGTTTGACTTTGCCTGCCAAGGCTCCCTCCTGGGAACAGCCAAAACTTTTAAAATGGAATACGAGAATCCCATTACCAGGGCGAGGGAGAAGGATGCAACTCCAGGTGAGAAAGTGCTGGGGCTAAAGATATCAGAGAATCTCATGGCCATTATAAAGCCCTATTTCCTCAGAAGAACTAAGGAAGACATCAAAAGCTATTCTGCTGATAAAGGAGATGCTCCTCTTCCTGAGGATCCAAGTGAGAACAGGGCTCCTGTCATGCCATCTCTCACTAGGAAAAATGACTTTGTTGTGTGGGTGTATCTGGCACCGGTACAGGAAGAAATATACAGGAACTTTCTCTGCCTGGATCACGTGAAGGAAGTGCTGATGACAACCCGATCACCTTTGGCTGAGCTGACAGTCCTGAAGAAGCTCTGTGACCACCCCAGGCTTCTGTCTGCAAGAGCCTGTATCCAGCTGGGCTTGGAAGAGCAGGAGTACTTTGAGCAGGATCATAGGAGCGAAGCAGATATGCTTTCAGGTGCGAATAAAATAGATCATCTTTCTGATGAGACCATGATCCAGGAGTCTGGGAAGATGCAGTTCCTCGTGGGACTGCTCGAACGACTGCGAGAAGAGGGACACCGAACCCTGGTGTTCTCACAGTCGAGGAAGATGCTGGATATCATAGAGCTCGTCCTGTCTCGCCGACAGTTCCGGATCCTGCGCATTGATGGCACGGTGACCCACCTGACGGAGCGGGAGAAGCGCATCAATGCCTTCCAGGGCAACACGGACTACTCTGTCTTCCTGCTCACCACGCAGGTCGGGGGCGTCGGCATAACCTTGACAGCAGCCAGCCGAGTGGTGATCTTTGATCCCAGCTGGAATCCAGCGACCGACGCTCAGGCTGTGGACAGAGCTTACAGGATCGGGCAAAAAGAGAACGTAGTGATTTACAGGCTGATCACCTGCGGCACCGTGGAAGAGAAGATATACAGGCGGCAGGTGTTTAAGGATTCGTTAATCAGACAGACCACTGGTGACAAAAAGAACCCGTTCCGCTATTTCTCCAAACAGGAACTAAGGGAGCTCTTCACCCTGGAAGATACTCGGACGTCTGTGACTCAGATCCAGCTGCAGTCCCTGCACGCCATGCAGAGGAAGTCCGACACGCAGCTGGATGAGCACATTGCTTACCTGCACTCGCTGGCGATGTTTGGCATTTCTGACCACGACTTGATCTACACGAAGGACACTGCTCACGAGGAGCAAGTGGAGAGCGAGGAAGCCCATGAGTACATCCAGCGGAGGGTACAGAAAGCCCATGAGCTGGTCCAGCTGGAGTCCCAGCTCAGAGACCAGAGGATGGAGGGGATCAGAAATGCCTGTGAAGAGGAGTGGCAAAGACCACCAGGATTGGTTTCTGGACCCAAGAAGTTGTCTCCAGGGGTGAATGACAAAAATCACTTCATTTCACCACCAGTAGCTGATGCACATGAAAAAGACAAATTTATTGACTTTACAGAGGATGAGGAGGTCCAGGTACTTGATGTCAGCTCCAAAATGACAACTCTAACTATTGATGACTCAAGTGAGCAGAAACTGCCACAAGATGTGTCAAGTATAGAGACAGAGCTGCTTAATACCAGCAAGGCAGCAGAACAAGGTGATATACAAGAATCTGAGCAAAATCCCGAATCCAGCATTACACTATCATCCCCTGCACTTGAGAAAGAGAGTCAGAGCCTCCAAGAGAAACAGCATTCCCATGTACATTCGGACAGCTTGGCTAAGGCGGGGAATGACCTGCCTGGGCATCATCAGCATTCCTCCAACGAGTCTGGCATAGCCGACAATCCTGAAAGGGATGCAGAAATGTCAGTTCAGGTACTTGACCCGCACATTGCCCTGGGGACAGAGCAGAAGGACGTTCCTGAGGCAGCTTCCACTTCCGCAGTGCTGAGCTTATCAAATGTCACACCGGAAATCCATGGTGGGCTCTGCAAGTCTCGTGTGCTGGAAGACAACTTGGAGGACACATCTGTGCTTTCTCTCCAGGAGCAAGTTGATTTCAATCTGGTCTTGGAAGAGTCTGAAGAGGGATGGAAGGATGCCTCAAATAGGGAAGGGTCAGTGGAACACCCCAATGAAAGCTTCCAACTCCAGGCAGAAAGTTTGTGTCAATCTCCAACCAAAGAATCTCCAAACAAAAGTCAGCTGAGTGAGAACAGTAACTGTGGCAAACCCTGTCCCGCAGATGAGGAAGAGCCAAATGCCTCCCTGCAAGGGAGTGAAGCTTTGGAGGAAAGCAGTGGCCTCTTTACTTTTAATAGGAGGAAACGCTTAAACAGAATTGCTTCAGACAGCGAGAGTGAAGAGCAGCCTGAACAAATGCCCTCCTCTCCCCTGGACAGCCTTGGGCACCAACTTCTGGAAGGAATTAGCGCGTCCACCCCTAAATGTGACAGAAGCAGAGCTAGAGCCATCTTTTCTCCTCAACTAAGTAACAGTGGTAGCAGGTCTAATGCTTCCAGGCGCTCATTCATCAACAAAGTAGTAGATGAGGTGGAGGATATTGGGGAAATCATGGAAACCACTGGTGAAGAAGGTGACGATGACACTGATGAGGAGCAAGACAAGCTTGTGGAAGAAGAAGCTGAGGAATGTACTGGGGAATCTGCTGAGACTGAAGAAGAACCTACTGGAGAAACACTTGATACAGGTGAAGAATCCTTCCATGTAGATAGTGAGGAATCTGAGCAGTCCGAGGCGGAGGAGACGGAGTCATCTCAGGAGGAATCCACTAGTGACCCTGAGCTTCAGTCGGGTGAGCAGGTTGACTACTTCACCCAGGAAAGCAGCTCCGAAAAGGAGGTTGGTCAGAATTCCTCTCCTGCTGTGGGAGATTACGACACCTTGGTGTACAGTGGGAAGAAACTTCAGAAGGATGGGAAACTCCAGGAGGCATTGGACTGCTTCCTGCAAGCTCTTGACATAAAAAGTGGAGATCCTGAAGTTATGCTTCTGACTCTAAACTTGTACAGACAGCTGTCACAGAAGTGAAGGGTGTGGCTCTGTGAGCACAGTCTGGCTGTTCCTTGTTAACACGTGTCTGCACCATGGCACCAGGATCCCTGAGTGAGCTCCAGGCTGGTGCCTCTCATTCACTCATGTGACTGAGCAAACTCAGCATCTCCTCTGTGAGGAAACAGTCTAAGAATCCAGATGTTGGATGCTGGGGAGGGAACTTCACTGTGGAGTCAGCTCACAAAGGTGAAAATAGCTCATGTTTCTGTCTGGTTATTTAATAAAAAGATGTTGTTGATGTCTAAACCCCTCTCTAAGCTGGCAGCTCTGGCTTCAACCTTTGCCCCTCCAGGTTCTGTCACTCCTCTCCCCTGAGAGGATGGGGACAGTGTGGTTCCATGGCCACTGCACAGCCCAGCCTCAGGCTGATGTGATTGCTCCCTCCTTCTTGTCTTGAAATAAGCCAACTTGGGTGCCTGAACGTCACCCACCATTTGTGGGAGTTGGATGCTGGTGCAAAGGAGAAAACAGCTCTTGCAGCCTGGTTGTAAGTTGGTCTGAGAATGGATTGGCTGTGGAGGAGTTAAAAAGATTTAAAAGCTGTTTGCTGCTCTAATTTCTCCAAACAGTGGAGGAAGTGGAGCAGAGGAGGCCAGCACAGCATCTGCTTGGCACCAGGTGTAACACCCAATGTGGTAGTGCAGGAGCTCTTCTGAACCCCCTGACAGGTGTGTATGTGTGGGGGGGGGGCTGTGGGGCTAGAACTCCAAAGACAGCAGGAGGGGATACTGGATTTAACTGCTTTTTTTGGTAAAGAAATCCTCTAACCCTCTCCCCACACACAGCTGAACTCTGTTAGATGAAGTATCTCTCAGGTCCTGTAGGCACGATGAAGCTATGAAGAGGGTTTGTAGTTCACAGAATCACAGGGTCATGGAATGGTTTGGGTTGGGAGGGATCTTAAAGACCTTCCAGTGCCCTGCCATGGGCAGGGACACCTCCCACTATC